CTAATAAACTCCAAACAAAATGTCTGGCTGTGGTTTACAGGTGTGTTTTTTTTATTTTTATAGTATAACGTCAGCATGGAGTCAAGTTGACAGGAGCTAGGTCTTTTATCAGAACATTTCTAGAGGGCTGACACTGAAGTATCATGGCGCTACAAAGAAAGTATTTGGCCTGATATTCTATAGGCCAATCAACGCAGACGGGTTCATCCCAAAACCACTGTTCTTTTAAGTTGTGTAACTAACCCATCGTAAGTCATTATAAACCTGCTGGGAGGAATCTTTGGAATCACTGAGAGAGGACCTGACAACAGGAAGTAGCAGTAGATCATTGGTCTAGTGAAACCTGTTTGTAATGGAATTCCTTTTGTTGCAGCCTGGGTAGAGGATCCCCTCTGTGCCCTAGGCTTGTAATGGCACCTGTTATTAGTGGAGACCCATTGGAGTCACACTACAGTTAAAATAGGCCCAATTGAAAATACTTGTGTATGCCCAGGAAAATCTTAACCCTCACCCCTCTATGACTGTGTCTTCAATGTGTGTGAAGGAAATGCCAAACAACAATTTGTTTTTGATAGGAACTAGTTTATAAGCAGGAGTGGTCTGTTCATTTGTTTCTTGTGTTAGTTGGGGTGATAGTTGAAGTACCGTGCTTACTTTTCGGCTGTGGTAAAATGCAGTCGTGTTTGCAGTAGACAAGCCAGATGTCCCTGGTATTCTGTGCTGACTTAAAGAACATTCACACTTAAGCTAGAAATATGATAAAGAAACAGACATTCATGGACACATTTTATTTGCATTTATATTGAATGTCAAACAGCATGCTGCAGATTTGTATATAGGATCTTGCTTAGGCAAACATGAATTTTATTATAATGCAAGTAAATACGTTTATATATCTCTGAGGCTACATCCACACTACTACGTTTTTGTTTAAAAATGGAGTTTTAAAACTAATACAATATCCGTCCACATCATGGTTTTAGCTGCGTACCAAAGTTGATCTCTATATTAAAACGACTGAAAACGCACATCTAGTGGTCATTCATGTACACTGGGCATGCGTGTGCCGGTGTAAACATGAAGCAGATGGTCTACTCCGCAGAAGATTTCGTTTTTAAAGGCCTCCGTTTTTGCCCGTCTAAAACGCTACCACGGAGTTTTAAAACAAAACCGGGGTCAGCAGCGTTTTCAAACTTCTCTGTTTTAGGTCTTTGGATTTGCTGTTGTAGTCTGGACGGGAGGTGCAAACGTAGTAAAATTTATTATGTTTACTCAGTCTTGGGCTGCAAATAGCCTAACTCATTTTCATAATCAATTAATAAATTAATAAATTGTTTGGTCTAAAAAATGCGAGAAAATAGGGAAAAATGCCCATCACAAGATCCTAAACCCAAGTTGATGTTGTTGATGTCAAGTAGCTTCAGTATCCTTTTCTTAAGACACCTGTAACCCTTTGTTGACACCAGTAGAACTGATCAAACAAGACCTAAGGTGTACCTTACTATCACACCGGGCTACTATATTAAAAGTGTGATAAACAGGATCCTGGGTTCTTAGCTGTTGATGGTGAGCTGGCTAAATATTCCCTATTTACTAATATTTGTTACAGTGACTAAAGGCAGGATAAGTAGGTAAAGACAACAGATAAACAATGTGTGTAAGAACAATAATAGTGCGGTGCCTCCACTGTGGAACTACTAAGCTCACCTTAAGAACTGTACTGAAGTTCCCCAGAATAATGGTAAGTATTTATAAGTAAGTCAAATATGAACAACAGTATATAGTATGAAAAAGGGAAAAACACATTTATTTTTTACTTTCCTGGTACTCTCAAAAAGCACCAGGAAAACACCACTTTTTTGTGTCAAACCCAAAACACCAAAGCTTTAAGTTCAAAGTTTAAACCTTACAATGAACCCTTAATATACTGACAAATAGCCAAAAGATGCTTTATCAAACCACTCTGGTACTCTTCAAGTAACACTTCCCTGTTTTGTTTTTCTTAGAATGGAATAAAAAAAACATTATACCGTGTGTGTGTGTGTGTGTGTGTGTGTGTGTGTGTGTGTGTGTGTGTGTGTGTGTGTGTGTGTGTGTGTGTGAACTGAATGAAAATAAATGTAACCTGTACAGGTATCAATAACAAAAGGTACCACTTCAGTATAATAAAGTCCCAAGTACACACATCTGTACCATCACAGTTCAACTTTAAAATGTTCAAATTATTACCAAGCGCTTGGATTTGTAAACGTTGGGGCCCATACGGTGGTGCACATATGAAAGAGTAATCCTTTAACTCCCTGGTAGTACAGTTCAATGTTCAGAAAAGTCTCCCCTTACTCATGCAGCTCCGTCACTCCGACGCTCTGATAGTTCAAAAGGATCCACAGGCTGGTAGATGATGCAGCAGAATGGCGAGGTGCAGTAGGTAGATGTCCGCGCAGCGATGCAGCAGGCTAGCTCACACGGCTCCACATTGTCTCTAGTTCTCCGGTAAAAACTGCACTCGTTGTCTACGCTGGTTGTCTCTCTCGACAGTTCAAACCAATGTCCCTCTAGTTTAAAAGTCAGACAGTTTGCACTTTTACACTTTTCTCTGTTATTGCAAACAGGAACGGGGGTATGACCGAGCTACACTTATCACTTTCACTGGAAAAAAAACAAATGACTGAGCCTGCTACGACACATAAATTAACTGCAAGGTAATATTTGTGCCCTAGCTATTAATTCTCTCTGAGTTCAACTGAAAGTTTTACCACACATCGATACAGAGCCGCTTCTCTCTCGCACATGCGTCTTCTCTCGTTCTTCTCTTCCGACCATCTTTTTCTACCCTAAAGTTCTCCCCCTCAAGTGGCTCAGTTTACATCAATCAAAACAAACTGAAATTACATTGGCTAAGTTATCATGAAACAGGAATTCACAAAGAGCAAAGCATCATGGAAGGTGTGGTTTTCCCATTAAGATCCCACATGTAAAGAAACAGTCTTTTCATTTAACTATATTTAGTAGGCCCCTACACACCTAAAGGTATTTATCACATAAAATAAAGAGCAAATCAGATACAAAACAGCACGATTTAATAAACCTTCTTGAACAATATAATTCAATCACATTAGCCTCAGTAGAATGCGTGTCTGAAAATGTATTCCCTGAGTTTAAAAGTTGGACTGAAAAAGCAGGGAAGGTGCAGCTGTACAATTTGGCCAGTTAAGGGCATTTTAAGTTTGTATAAAATACATGCATTACTTCGGAAAGTCTGTTTCAGTTTTGTTTTTTGTGTTTTAGCGGTGAGTCTGACCGCACTATCTGCTCTTGTAGAACAGCTGTCCTCCTTTCCACCCCTCTTACATCTTTCAGTAGATCTGGTTCAGTCTCGACACATTTGTTGTGTAATTGGTCACAAGTGTAATATAGGCGCATGTTTGTGCATGGCTGTGGTTGAAAATTGTAGAAAGGTGTGCGTGTGTGTTGGCAGGTTTTAGTTTGGTACTGCTGTGGAGGAGGAAGTCCAAGGTCATCGAGTGATAACAGCACACGCAGCTCAGCTACAAGTAAAACTTGCACAAACACATCAAAGAGCCTTTGTTGAAAACTGTCAACAAATAGCTAACACTTAACTTTTTCAGCGTACATTCTGATACAATAGGTGAAGAAACTCACTTGGCTTTTGTTTTCAACACTTCCACTGTGTTTCTTTATCATTACATGCTTTTATTCCCGTGGGAATATCACCACAGAGCGTATGTGCAAGCAATACACTCGATACTCTTAGTGCTTAGTCCACCAGAGAAGACTCTCTCTAGTCTGCTCTGCTGGATTTGACACCACTCCAGCTGATAGCACATGTTCATGTTTATCTGCAGTGTTAGTGCAGCATGTAAATAATGAAATGGGACAGTTTGTAATGTGAGGAGATCTTGGCAGAGGCAAAAACAAATATTGAAAATAATACAGAGAGGATCAAAGGATCAAAGAGTCTGTTTTGGCTGTCGATACAACACTTCATGGAAAAGTGTTTTTTTTCTTTTTGTTTTCAAAGAGATATATTACAAGTATATTTGGCAGTTGGTGTATCAGCACACAGAGAGTAAGTGTATTCCTGTTGAAAGAAAAACATTGGATGGTAGAAAAATGTTGCTACTCCCGTGTTGTCACCTGCTCGTGGGTGGCACAGATTCAAAAAGCTTACTCTCAACATCTTGTTGACTCCTGCGTGTGTCAATTATGTACAGTAAGAATAAGTCTTTACTATAAAGTGTTTGCTGAAAATGACTGCACTGTTGTCACTTTGGTTTTATTTTATATCCGTTTGTTTAACCCCATTCTCGTGCATTTTAAAAATTTTTGCTCAAGTTTCCCTTGTTTACTTGTGTACTTTTCGCTCAAATGTGTGCATTATACTACAGCTGAAACAGTCAATTCAAATTTAAACTAAAAATGAATCGCTAACTCTTTAAATAATCAATTGTTTTCTTTCTCTAAATCATTTTTATGTAGTTATCATGTGTTGACTATTACTCCTCACCCAGAACCAGTCAGAAAAGAGCATGTGCATGTGAGTCATTTTCTTTTTGATGATTGGCGTAGAGGGTCTAGACTTCGCACGTCATTGGGTTGTGGTTTCTCTGTGGCGGGGCTCTCGGGCCAGGTGTAGCATTACAGGCAGGTTCTGGAGGGTTCCGGCTGTCTTTAATGTGTTAAGCAGATTTAGGACCCGAGGACAGGTGCTTTGTGGCGCTGTCAACCTCCTGTTACTACAGTAATAAATGACATGCATTCCTCTGTTGGATATCGACTATCATCCCCTCACCTGCACGGTTGTCTTTTTCTCTGTCCGCCACTCTTTGTGTCTCCCTTTCTCTTTCAGTCGTCTTTCTCTTTTACCCCCCAGTCACATCTGTCACTTTCATCCCAATCCTGTCATTCATCGCTTGTTGTGCCCTTTCCCTTATGTATCTTCTAATGTCTAATATATCCCTTCTCTGTCCTCTTTTCAGTTTTATTACTTGAAAAGATTGAGAATGACGACATCGGGAGGAAGACCTTGAAGATCACAGATTTCGGCCTGGCCAGGGAGTGGCACAAAACAACAAAAATGTCAGCTGCAGGCACCTACTCCTGGATGGCCCCTGAGGTCATCAAGTCATCTCTCTTCTCCAAAGGCAGTGACGTGTGGGGGTATGACAAATAACACAGGCCCAAGGATAAAATATCTACACTTACTCATTTGTCGCACATTAGTCCTCATTCTTTTGTTAAAGATCTCTTCCTCTTCATTTTCTTTTTATTCCATCCACCAGCTATGGTGTCTTGCTGTGGGAGCTGTTAACAGGGGAGGTGCCCTACCGTGGGATAGACGGCCTGGCTGTTGCTTATGGTGTGGCAGTCAATAAGTTAACTCTACCAATCCCCTCCACTTGCCCCGAACCCTTCGCCAAGCTCATGGAAGGTAAATGTACAGGATGTAGGAAAGCGTGTCCTGAAATAAATTATTTTCTGAGTCATTTCAGGATCTATGAACAAATCTATGGGAAGTTGAATTAATTGAATTATTACAAGAGAATCACTGATAGGTAAGTTTGATCACATATATTACATAAACCTGTTGGTCCTATAATGATAAAGAAACTTTATTTGAAGTAAGCAACCGTACATGACACTATAGACTTAGAAATATAGTAAAACACAAGAAAAAGTTTGTAAAAACTGTAAATGTTAATTGATTGGAGAATATCCAGATGTTTGTTTGTGGTAGTTATGTTGTTTTTTTCATAAAAAAAAGTCTTATTTTGGTTATAAGACAAGAACATTACTTCTTACATAATGACATTACATTGTGAAATCTGCCACAAAATAAGGTTCTCTTCTAACTATGACATTTTTCAAGCTGGCCCCTATTTCCCCATGTTTTGTGCCTATGTGACTAACTGGAACAAAAAATTTTGAAATTGGTCCAGAGCTGCAGTCGGCAACAGCGAAATGGGGCTGCAAAATAGCACGTTCACTAAAGTGCTTGTTTTTGCCACTGACAAGTTCAGATTGTTGTTACAAGTGCCTGAACACTATGGAAAGGACGCCTACAGACCTCACTTCTGTTTAACCAGTAAAGTAACAGTCGCTATATCGCTCTTGTCAAAGCCACCAGACTCTATTGACAAATATAGTAATTTTACCATGTAGAACACAGTAATTGGTGATCTACCGCTACCTCGGTTGGTTGCTTAGTTTGTTTGTGGTTGTTGTGTGACTTCACAATAGTCACACAATAACACAAACTACCTAACCGATCAAGGCAGCGGTAGATCAGTGGCCTTTACTACGAAGCGAGGTAACTGGCTTATCCAGGTAACTTCAGGAGTAACTTTGTGACATCGGGTGTAACTTCCCAATTAACCGTACTACGAAAGGTGGATAGGTGTAACCCGGGGTCTGTTGCCATGGCAATTTACGCTGCATCTCTAAACTGCTCCGAGCAGGTTTTGTTCATGGTTAACTCGAGGTTACCCTGCATGTGGACTACACACCACATCTGTACTCAGTGTTAATGATGAGAAGTAGGATATTAATACATACCACTTCATAAAATATGTTTAGATTTCATGCTGATTTGTTCCTCTGCGGTTGCAATGAAGTTCTGAACACAACAGCATCACTCTGTGATTTTACAGAGGAATCTTAAGTAATTAACGGGATGGTTTCTTAGATGAGCCCATCTGTAGTCTATAATTGAATTCTCTGAAGTGTTTTCACATATTTAGATAGATTTTTTTACGTGTCCAAAAAATAGGGAGCCAGGGTTAATAACCGTGAAAACAAAAATCCTAGATGAAAGTGTGAAATTTACAAGAAGAAAAATCGGAAATTCCCTGAAATTAATGTCATAAAAAAAAACAAAAATCACTGTTTTCTTCTGAATGCGCCCAATCCAAGGCAAAGTCTCTAAGGTGCATGGTAGTGATTGTGGGCTAAACTCAGGAGTATTTCCTCACTGCTAAATTGCAAAGTCTAATATAACTTTCCAGTGCATGCAGACTACACAGCAGACGTGTGTGTGTGTGTGTGATATTGCAGCCTTGTAAAGTGAAGTTTCTCTCATAAATGTGTGACTGTAATGTCAACTCTGAGAAGGTTGAACTTATTTATGACACGCACTGTCATAAATAAGATAACAAACAATGCTTTTTGTTTTCAGTGAAACCATTTAACCTATCTGTTAGCTGTCTGTTATAGTTAATGGTAATATACCTGATTTGACTTTTCGTTCAATTCTACTTCACATAAGGATTTCTACTCAGTGGTTGTTTGTCATTGGACAAAATGTGTGATAGTGGGTGTAATGCAAAGCTTCCAGTACAGATTTTGTGTCGCCAACATTGTTTGGGAGTATGTGATTACTGGAAGCCTCTTTCCAGTATCAGATGAAGTATTTGTTGTTCATACTTAATATTTGGATAATATTATCATCTTATACATATTAATTTTACCATAATAGCACATTGTGGAAACACTAGTTTTCTGCTCTGGTTGTGCAGATGAAAAAATACATATATAAGCTTGTGACTGTGTTTGTTAATGTGTCTATCTATATACATTGCAATGTGTGTCCAGAGTGCTGGGACCAGGACCCCCATGTGCGTCCCTCTTTCTCCTGCATCCTGGAGCAGCTGTCAGCCATCGAGGAGGCGGTGATGGCCACCATGCCCCAGGACTCCTTCCATAGCATGCAGGACGACTGGCGCGTGGAGATCCAGGAGATGTTTGATGAGCTCAGGACCAAAGAGAAGGTAGGGTAGAGTGATGAGACACACAAACACACAAACATCCATATGTAGAGCCACTGAAATTAAACCATACACACAATATGAGGGCAGGTGGTAAGAAGCATCAAATGTATGTTTTATTTCCTCCTCGCTCCCCTCTGTCTCACACAGTGTGGGAAGTTGGGAACCTGATGTACAGTATATGTAACAGACCTCTTATCCTTCTTCTAACGTTCTCTACTTGTTCATTATCAGGATTTAGTGCAACCACGCCAAATCGCTTGGGACGGCTTTCACGGACTAAAATGTTTAATTGGTTACTTTCAGTGGACAAGCTAATCGCACGTTTAACAAAACGAGTCATTAATGGCGGGGTGCTTCAGCGTACTTCCCCCTGTTAAGACCTTAATCTGCTTCCTGTGTAAGTTTCCCATCTCTGGCTTACAGAGGGGGGTTAATTAGTGTTTGTAGAAACAGCAGGATCAGCACACAGAGCTGGGTTTAACACATGTTGAACTGAATGACATGGATACTAAAGACTCCACAGGTGTTTTTTTTTGTTTTAATATACTTTATTTGTGCCTTATATTTCATGATTTTATTTTCTTTGTATTATATATTTATGTGTTCTCCCTTGTTCTAGTCTATCAGCTATGCTACACCCTCTTCTAAACATGTACCCTCTTGTTATATAACGTCCAATTATCCAAAAGAATCCCCCTAACTGATAATCTGCACCACATCACTATGGCAAAACTCTGTAACATTGTTAGCTGTGTAAACCTTTCATAAATCAAGAGAACAAAAGATAATGTAGCTTTGAGCATTAGCTAACATTTTCCCATCGCACATTTCATAAGATTACTTGTAGAATTAGCCACTAAATCAGCAGGTTTCCTGTAAACATCCCACAGTGATCTGTGTCTAGGTGGGTGGCTGAAGAGGCTTGACTGTAAAGCTGCTTTATGGAAGTCATCCAGTAAGGATTATTATTACTCAGCTGAGAGCAATTAAAGAGAAAATAGTGGGAATGAAGAAAGCAGACTTGTCTCCTCCCATGGCTTAATCTATGTAACACAGCCCAAAACAGCAGGCAGTAATCTCCTGAAACCAACTTGTTATAGACGGGAGTTATCTAATACACGGCTAACACTCCTGCCTGTCTTATGTATGTCTGCAAGAGCTTTTTTCTTGTCATAAGGGAATTATAAAATGTATTTCTACATGTTTGTCCTTCTGCAATGCATTTTCTCCTCTTTCTTAAAAGAGAAATAGCCTCCAAACCCAACAAATATCTTACATGGCCATGTGTAGACATCAGGAGGAATACTGTTATATAGAAGGATTAGATTAGCACAGATGTAAAACAGAAACATGACTGCAAAAGGTTACCTCAAAGTTGAATAATAATCCAGAGAAGGTCAGAAAAATGACCCTTTAAATCGATTTAGCACTGCATACACCCATAGTGCACCTAGACCACCAACAGTTTGGTCAGAGATTCAGTGGGGTGTTATGCTAGTAGCTGCTAATGTGGCCTGGAGCTGGTCGGCTCGAGCAGAGATGAGGAGCGAGCTACAGAGGTCTGCTAACCTCACTTCTTTTTAACTCCACATCCACAGGTTGGTTTTTTAATTCACAAACTTGTAGCCTTCAGCCCCAACTGATGCTGACTCAAGTGACAATCCTTTTATCAAATTTCTCACAGCTCTGGAGCCACAAAAGATGGCACACAGGCAGCCATATTCCTGTAGACCTGTAAATAGACATTCATGTAAAATCAGAGGAGTTACCATTTAAGAGAAGAGGTGACATTATACAGAAAAAGCACGTAAAATTCCATTATTCAATACTAAGTTCAAGTTACCTTAGCCAGTAACATGTTGTTTATTACATATCCATATCCAAATTTCCCTGACATTCAGATGGAAACATGGCTACTATATATGTAACGCTAGATAGTAATGGTTTTAGATTAGACTTGCTGTCATTTAGGATGGGAGAAACGTGTTAACATTTAGAAAGACTATGGTGACTGAGCAAATTTAGGGCCAAAACTAACTTTTTTGCCACCTTCCCAAAACTCACAATGGGAGTGCTAACATTGTTCCACAGCAGCCACACTGACAAGGCTGCCTGCAGATGTGTCACAGACATTTTGTGTCTATCTGCCTCGTGGGTGCAGGTATCAGGTGATGCCAATTATCTAAAAATGCCATATATTGGCCCAATTAATCGGCCGACCGATTAATCAGAGTATCACTAATCTTAATACCTGCTTTTTCCAGGAGCTACGTTCCAGAGAAGAAGAGCTGACGCGGGCCGCCCTTCAGCAGAAGTCTCAGGAGGAGCTGCTGAAGCGTCGGGAGCAGCAGCTGGCAGAACGGGAGATCAACGTGCTGGAGAGAGAGCTCAACATCCTCATTTTCCAGCTCAACAAAGACAAACCCAATGTGAAGAAGAGGAAAGGCAAATTCAAACGTTCACGCCTTAAACTGAAGGACGGAAACCGCATCAGCCTGCCCTCAGGTGAGTGAACAGACTGAACGGATGTCTTGACTTGGTTTCACATTTAAATTGGTGGTCTTCTAGCGTGAGCAGTGAAAAGAGCTCCTTGCTTTACTCCTCATTGAAGAGGAAAGGACTCTGATATCAGTCCATTAGTCTTGACTGTTTGAATGTGCAGCACAATAAAGTATTGTGTTGAACATTTTATGAAGGATACATTGATGTGTGATATCTGTAACCGTAACTTCTAAAATTGTAATGACCGCATTGCCAATGTTCATTTGTTCGTGTTGCACTTTGCAGACTTCCAGCACAAGATCACTGTGCAGGCGTCTCCTTCCATGGACAAGAGGCGAAGCCTTCATAGCACCACCTCCTCTCCTCCCAGCAGTCCTACACTCATCCCCCGGCTACGAGCCATTCAGCGTGAGTTCAATGTTTCATTTTTTTATATTTATAAAGTTTTCCTTAGTGTGATTGTCTCCTCCACGTCTGTGTCAGTATTCATGTGGCTCTGTACTTGGTCAGTTGTATTTCACGGCCTGGATTAAGTAAAATCTGCTTATTTAAAAAAAAGAAATCATATCTCTGAGAATTTCATGGGAACAGTTTCATTCACAATGACAAGAGCCGTGTAAACTAAAGCGCCAAAGCCACAAACGGGCAGCCAGTTGTTTGAACAGTTTGATAATGTTGTTAGTCACACACCAACGCCTTTGCAATAACGGGAACAAATTCCTGTTGAGCATTTACGGTAGACCCTGATATTCAGACAGCGGGTGCAGATTGTTGCTCAGAATCACTGTATTTGTTATGATGATCTCTAACAGAGATGCTCTTCAAAAGGGCCCAAGACTTTTCACAGCGGGCTTTAAATCTGAGAGAGAGGCATAAAAACTACCGTAACATTTACAGATCAGCAGAAGCCAACAAAGAACTGTTTTAATGTACCGTTAGTTTACTTAATGACTTTGGTTATGCTGGTTAATTAGATAGCTTCTCTGTTATATAGGAGCCATAGAAAAGACAGAATACTTGAATAAGAAATTATATATATATACGGCATATATCTTTTATGGACCCAACAAATGTTGTCTTAACAGATGCTTTCAGTTACAGGATTACATAGGGGTTTTTTCACAGCCTGTATTAGGGCTGAAATCGAATTAATCAAAATCGCAATATGGCCTACTGCAATTTTCACATCGCAGGAGGTGCAGTATTTGTCAAAGACTATATGTGTGGCAAAATAACATTTTAAATGAAATGTTGTTGTGTTGCACAAATGTCCATGGCCTCTCATATTCTTCAAACTTAAGAAAACATCTTTGCTTGGTACAAATCCTTGCAAACAACTATTATTCCCTCCAATATCGCAAATCATAACGCAATTGCAATATCAGTCAAAATAATCGCAATTAGATTTTTTTCAAGATCATTCAGCCCTAGCCTATATAGATCGTGAACAGAAACATACACAGATACACAATACGTGAAATGTACACTTGATTAGGGGTCATGTGTTTTAATATGGACTGATTTAATGCAGAGAAATGCAAATGTTTACACAAATTACAAAAACAAATCAGATTTTCTTAAAAATAGAAAATGTTGTTTTCACGGCACATGTACGTGTCTCACATCAAAAACAGTGTATTGCAAAGCACACAATATACCTGTGGACATGGACACATATGCACACACTGTAAACATTTATGCCCTCACATATATCCCTACAATACTTTAATACATTTAAACATATTTCAAGTCGATTTCCAGTGGATTTTACCTATATAGCCCAAAATCACAAATTTAGCGTTTGAGGCACATTTAGAAGCACATCAGTTACAAAACTTGAGTCACACTCATGTTGGTAACATTTATGTTTCCCTCCTCAGTGACGTCCCATAGGCAGAGGGACAGTTTACACGTTTACCATCAGGATGTTGATCTGACCAGCGAGCTCACAGCCTACTGTGGGCTCAGGAGGAAAGGCAAGCTCTGCAGATGTTAGGCTAACTTTGAGCTCCTGAAAGGGTTTCATGCCTAACAGTTTCCCATCAGCAGGGATTGTTTGTGGTGATTGGCATGGTTTCCCCAGTGCGTGGATTATAACAAGACTTTGGTGTTTGCTGCTGGTTAAAATGGTTTCACAGGTACTTGACCTGAATCTCAAACGAGCAACAGTGATGAGGTTTATGCCACAGACTCGGGCCGGTCCGCTGCTCACATTTGTTTTTGAATCATCTCATATAATGCGGTGCAAAATCAATAATTGGCTTTTAAAAACATACTGGTATTCATACATTCATTTACACATATCCGAGTTGTGTTGAGTTTTGGCCCTAGTCTGTTGCAGTGATGTCTGCGGTGGATCCTGCCGTCCCACACACCTTCATAACAACTTCACAATGACTAACACACACACCCATAAGAAGCTTTTATTATAACTGTTACGGTTTCTGCTTTTTGATTTTACATTTGTGAAAATTAATATGAGTGATATTTTCTTGTATGAAACTTTCTGAATCTTCCTGAATCAAACTCTGTAATCTATACTATACTATAATTATTTCCAAAGGCCAAGATGATGTCCTCAAATGTCTTGGTTTTTCCATAATCCAATGATACTCAGTTTACTTTCATAGAGGAGGAAAGAAACCAGAAAATATTCATATTTAAGAAGCTGAAATCAGAGAAATTTTGTTTTTTATTAAAAAATTACTCATACCGATGAATCGATGATCACATTAGTTGCTGATTAATTTAATAGTTGACAACTAATCGATTAATCTTTGCAGCTCCAGTGTAGAATGATCTTAAAATCAACTTTGAAGAGAGAGAGCACCCTTGAGTTATGTGGTAATGAGACTTTTTATCAACTCTACATAGTTGGAGAAAGATACAACATAAAAATAATAACCTAACTTTCTAGAGGAAGACACTACTGGGATTTTACAGATGGCATAGTCCCTTTAATAATTAGTCAGGGCCAGCAGCAGCTTGCTGGAGATGTTTGAGTCTGTGTTAACTTGTGGTTAACTGTGGTAACTTGTGGTTAACTGTGGTAACTTGTGGTAACTTGTGGTTAACTGTGTCAACAGTTACTCAAGATGAGAGCAACCGCACGTGGGGCCGCAGCACCCTCTTCAGGCCAGAGGAGTTTGATGACGTGAAAAAGGGAATCAAGAAGAAAGGAAGAACCTGGGGCCCCAGTTCAGTACAGAGCAAAGAAAGGCCTGCTGCTGCTGAGAGGTAGATTACACACACACACACACACACAGAAAAACTCAGGCTAGTAATTTTTCTGCAGCAACGGTATAACAAAACATTTTAGTGATTTTGAAAAACCTTGAAAATTTTATCCGAGGGATACCTTGAAACTGCTAACCGGCCCATGCCTATACAAGCCCACACACACACACCTGGCCTATTTCATGTTTTCTTGTCTGTCGTTTTCAGAGTGCGTCCTCTGTCAGACGGCAATAACCCCTGGTCCACCAGCCTGGTCAAGTCCCAGAAGTCTGTCCCCCTCGCTGCCCTGTTTGCCGAACAAGGTGAGCTGAAGATCCATCGTGATGCTGTAATTTTTAATTATTATTATTAGTTTTTTGAGTGCTTGTTTACTTGTTAGATTTAAAAAGGGGGTTTAATGTCATTTGTTGCTAAGGGGAAAGGGTGCTTGTTTGGAGAAGACTCTATCAGTCATTTATTTATAATGCCTGTTTTCCACTTCTGTGTTTTCAGCTGGGGCTGGTAAAGACGAGGCATTCTCCCAGGAATGTCCTGACAGCAGCGCCAAGCCAAAGCAGATCAAGTTCCCCAACCAGGTGTATATCGATCTACCTCTGTGGAGGGACGAGCAGCAGCAGCCTCAGAGCCCCGGGGGGCAGGGAGATGCTGGGGTCGGGGCAGCAGGTCAGGGTGGCCCACCAGAGACCCCGGACGACCCCTACACCACCACATCCACCTCGTCCACCTCGACCACGCCACAGCTCACCCCCACCAACAGCCTGAAGCGGACGACTGCTCGCCGAAAGACTGACTCTGTGCTGTACAGCTGCGGCTCGTTGCTGGCTTCAGTCGTGCTCGGTTATGACATTAGGGAGGCTCTCAAAAACTCCGCCCCTGGGGAAGATTGCGAGCCCCAGCGTGAGGAGAAAGAGAAGAAGAAGAAGGAGGGCCTGTTTCAGCGTGCGACCCGGTTCCGCCGCAGCACATCGCCACCAAGCGGTCGCTCCCGCAAAGATGAGGCATCGTCAAACCACACCTCCCCCCAAGCTGTCAATCTCATCTCCATGTCAGCCATTATAGAATGCAACTCCACAAAGTGTCTCTTGCAATCTGAGGCGGAGGTGTCGGAGTCTAGCCCTGGGAAGGCTGAGCTCGTGGCTGTCAATCATCACACGGAGCCACCCAGACCCGGCCCAGCAGCATCTAAAGAAGGCCAGAGTAACAGGACTGCAGCAAACACACAGACACCAGTGCAAACCCAAAGCCAGCCGCAAGAGCAGAGCAATCACAACACAGGAACACGACTACGCAGAAAGAAATACACCACCAACCACAACAGTGAGTAACACAAAACAGCGGTAAGGGAAGTAAGCATGAATATACGGTCTAAAAAATATATTTATGCTCCAAATGTCTGTCTCCCCATTCTGTTTCCAGCCAACGGCCCTCCCGCTCTGCCTCCTCCAGCCTCACAGAAGAAGCCGGAGAAGGACAAGAATGGAGCGTCAGAGAAGTCCTCTGCTGGGGAGGCCTTCTCCAGACCACGGCCGGTGTCGTTCCGGGCCAAACCCCACGCCTGGGCCCTGCTGCGAGGACGCAACAAGAGTTACTCCCTGGGCCACTACTCCGGAGAGAAGGCGGCACAGAACCTAAACGTGGTGCTGTCGTCAGAGGTGGGGATGGGCTGCTCCCTGCTGGACATGGACACAGAGGGCCAGAAACGAGACTGCACTGTCCCGCTCTGCCGCATTCAGAGTTCCCCGGGACGGTCCTCTGTCTTTGAGCTGGAAAAAGAGTTCCTCTCTTAGGAGCCTTGAAAAAGTGATCTGCTGTGGTCATAGTTTATCCTATACAATCTAGAGTGTTCTTGGCGTAAAACTCCTGGAGGGTTTAAAACCAGGCCTTTTCTCTCTCTCCATGTTTAAAAAAAAAACAAAGTTCTATAACATAGAACCCAGCTTTGTCTTAGTTCTAGAACATAGCGCTGTCAGTGTTCTAGCGCGTAACTAAGTCTGAGACTTCTAGAGAACATCGGTGTCAAAGGAGTTCTAGAATGTGCACCACTCAACTCAGTTTGAGAACGGCCTTACACACTGCCTTGTCTCATTCTAGAACACACACACACACACACATAGTTCTGAAACCTGAGCAGAACATTCCAGAGCTGGAAACAGCGGCTCTTCCTCTGATCCCTTGGTGCTCGACTGCCACCCTGTGTTAGCTCTACCCCCCCCCCGTTACGCTCTTCCTTCCTCGTTCTGTCGGTGCAGCTAAACGTTGACCGCTGCTGCAGCTTTCGCAACACAATACCCTCACCTTTTTATTTATATATATTTTTATAGGTAATTTAATATGAAGAGACTTGACCTTACCTTAGCAACCAGCAGGACATACATTCCATGTCACCTTCAAAGTTGTGCGATCACGCTTTTAGATGTTTGTGACTTGAGAATCATGCATGCACCCTTAAAATGTCGAACAAAAAAAAATCATTATGCCTTGTTTGTAAATATTTCTTTTTATCCCTTATCAGCCTAATGCTGGCACTTGTTTTGTACTGCATATATGCTGTTTTATGACTATTTTGAAAGTCAGCGATGCTGCAGTACAGTTTGTGTTCTAGGCACAGGTTACATGCTGCAACTTAGCAGCGGTGCATGTGTGTTTCCTCCCAGAACACCCTGAAGATTTTAGAGATGCAGGTAGAAAAACACTGGAAGTCCTACAAAGCCAACGTGGAACTCTTTCATTTAAAAGTTGGAGTGTATTTAAAATGGCCGCAGTGGTTGCTAATATGGAGTATTTATAGAAAAGGTTTTTTTTGGTTAATATTTCCTATACTCAGCACAGTGCAGCAGAGTTGGGAACACTTCAGCCACAAATGTTCAGTTCGGAACACAATTAATGAAATTAGACTGATGACAGCTGTATCAGTATAAATTCAGATGGATGGAAGGATTACTACACAGCCTGGGAGTGGCCACACATGAGGATTTATATTTTAAGAAACTGTTCAGAACAATTTGTGATGCTTGTACTGTAAACCAGACAGACCCTGCACCTTCAAGTATTGAAGTTCCTCATTATGTCTAATTCATGTCCTCATATTTTTACAAAATTTTGTAATTTATGCAAACAAATTGTTTTTTTTTCTTCATTTTTATCATCATCATTTTATCACCATCAAGCTCAGGAAGGTCTGGAGACATTTAAGGATATAATTTTGGTAAAGAGAGTCAAGACACAGTTTGCCTTTCATTATTATACTGTAAACTCACAGCCAGCTGAATGGCTTCCTCAGGATTAGCAAAGGGTTCAATATCCTGATTTGTTTGACACGTTTTTCTCCAGACCTCTGTGAACTTGACAGTATGGAGGTCTGACTCTGCGGGATATATAGTGAACCCAGTTTCACGGTCACTCCCGGGCCCTCTCCCTGAAAATGGAACAAATTAACGTAACATCCATTCTTAATCATTGACTGATGATTATATTCCCCCAACTTTTTATTGCTGTCTTACCGAGAAGTTCGTTAGAAAACGTGTGACACTGTTTAAGGACGAAACAAGGGCTCATTTACAGTGAGATGAATTCCCAAATGGTGTAAATATAATTGTGATTCCTGATGTGTATGTCACTGTGTCATCTTACGATGATTTAGAATGTGAAGCATCCCTTGTTCTGTATTTTATGACCACTGACTGTCAAACCAACACTGTAAAGGCCTTACTAATCATCGAGCTGTTAAAGGTGCAAGCCCGTTTGTTATGAATTAAGGGTTATCTGTAAATACCATAATGCACTGGTACTGTACATTCCCCTGAAAATATTGAATTTCAGTTTGAAGCTGAAGTCTGCAGTTTGTCATCCAGTCACAACACTTTGTGTTGTCTGGTGGTTAACAGAAAGGTTAATGATGACTCGATATGCCCAAATAAACTACACTTGGCAAACTGCAGCAAGAATATTGGTGATACTAGTCAATATGGTGCATTCAGGCTTCTGGCTAATAGTGGTTGTGGGACCAAATTCAACTCAACAGGCACTAAGGCCTCTGTCTTCAGGACCAAACTACTAAATGAACTAGCTGCTAGTGAGAAGTTCTTGCAAAAGAAAACTACTCCGTACGAAAACTTCACAAACGACCTCAGAGGCGCAGTGCAGCGCCATTTGCTGAAAGGCCCATGACCTGATCAAATAACAAGACTTCCTGTTAATTGCAACACTTCCTTTAAATCTGGATGTGTCAGATTTAGCTTTGAGTACATCTGTTTCAGTTTTTTGTTATCATTACAGTATTGGTTATTTCACGCCTGATTGATCAAGAGTATCAAGTTTATCAATATTTTGAATAAAGTCTGAATCAAGACTAATGTTGCCTTTTTGTTTTTATCTTGAGGCTGAATTACAACATTTTTTGGTTTGGTTTCCTCTTAAATTTTAAGCAATGGTGGAAAAAGTATTCAAATTATTTACATATGTAAAAGAAGCAATACCACAAGGTAAAAATACTGTTACTACAATACATACTACAAGTTACTGCTTTAGTGAAAGTGTAAAATGAAATGGCCCTTGTTAGTGATATATCACTACTTGATTAGTGCTGATGCATCAGTGCACGAGGTGCAATGTACTGTTGCACCTGGTTTATGCATTTTGCTTGCTAAAATAAAACACATCTCAGTAGAGAAAATACTGCATGAAGAAAAGCTAGAATAACAATTTTTAATAATTGAAAAGAAGCCAATGACTGCAGTGGTTTATACATTAGGTTAGCAAACACCCCGACTGCCCACTCAAGTTGGGTGTACTTGTAAATATGTAAATAAAAGATTGCTGAACCTTGGCCACAAAATCTGGACTCGTCTTCATATATCTGCATAGTTTTCTCTTTATATGGTTATGATTATGGTTTTACATAATTAATCACTCATTTCTGTAATTACATACAATAAAATAATAAAAAGTAAAAAAGACAAACTGAGCAATGTAATACAATACATATATTATTGTAAAAACTAAAATAAATCATCCCATGTGAATTTTTAAATATTTTAGAATGGCTGGATATTATTTTTTAAATATTAAATTGTTGACTTCATGTCTACGGCTTTGCAAACCAGCCTGAGTGTGGCTGTATTGGAGGAAAAACAAATACACATTGTGGTCACATATACTTACAAGCATATCTGTACACATACAAGTATATCGGATCATGTGCCTACCACAGAAAAAAATGTAAAAAAAATCTGCATGTACAATAAGTTATACTCAAGGTCCACCCACTAGCTTTTTACTGTGTTTTGAACCACATCTCACGGTCTTCATCAGCAGATAGAGTTTGCTCTGTGACTACTATAGGGAAAAAAGCTGCCAAGTGGACCTTGAGGTAAATTATTTTTGCCATTTCCACATTTTTTTCTAACTAAAAAAAAGCTCTTGTTGAGTGAAACAGTGCAGTTACAGAGTCCTGGAGGCTGAAAGTCAAACGTTTACCTTCACAGGTCAAACCACATGTCAGATCCTTAATGCTATCAATGATAAAGTGCATCACTTTTACTGGCACAGATGTTTTTGGCTGTGGCCGTTGAGGTAGCGATGACATAATTAAAGGTGAATTAAAGGTATCATGTCGGTCGACTTGTCTACAGCAAAGAGAAGACAATGGAGATAGAGACGGATAAGATTAATGAACCGCACAAAGGAGTAACTGCCCAAAAGGCACTGTTCTACACATCCGTCGCAGATCTAAAAATAGTGAAAAGGGTGGGGTGAACAGAGGCAATTACAGTCATTGTGGAGAAACTCGAAGATTTCTCCTCCAGGAGTTTCATTTTCCCTCCCTCTTTCTGTCTACCTGCCCCAGGCGATTGTCCTGCGACAGCTGATACTTGACTTCTCATTTGGTAATCTTTTGTTACAGCAGAGAGGTTACCTTTCCCTCACTGACGATACGTCCAGCTGTGCATTTTGTGCACTATCGCACAAAGTAGAAACTTGTAACATATTCTTATGGATTAAGTTGCTTTTTCCCCCTTTTCTTATTTTTACCACAGCAGGATTTAATCAGTGATCTGCACGCAGTTGTCTTACTCAACGTATTTATTTTAACAAACAATTTATAGAAATAGTGAGAAGCATGGGCTTTCTGTGTGGAGTTTGCATGTTCTCCCACGTGGTTCCTCCGGCTTCGTCCCACCATCGAAAGACATCCAGGTAAGGTGAATTGGTGTCTCGAAAATTGTCCTTAGGTGTGAATGTGAGTGGTTGTCTGTCTATCCGCCTTTCGCCCCATGTAAGCTGGGATTGGCTCCAGCCCCTCGCGACCCTGTATGCAGGATAAGCGGTTGACGATGGATGGAGTGAGAAGGATGAGTTGATGTTTCATAGCTACAGGAGACTCCAACACTAAGTGTAAATGTAAGCAGTGGTGGACAGTAACTAAGTATATTTACTCAAGTACAAATTAGAGGTATTTATACTTTACTTGAGTATTTTGTACTTCTACTCCACTACATCTCAGTTACTAGTTACTTTACAAAGTAAGATTTTTACACACAAAACATATGACGAGTTTAAAAAATATGTTTTGTTATAAATTAAGCTACAACAGTTTATACAAGTACATCTAGTACATTAGTTGACTGACAGAAATGTGTTTGGTCCTTTATTTCTGTAAAAACATTTCGGCATTTAAAAAAAAAAAAATCATTTTGAGGTTTGGGCTGACAAAAACAATCCGTCACTTTGGGCTCTGGGCATGACAACATTTCTTAATATGTTCAAAGAAAAAAAAACAATTGATAGAGAAAATAATTCTCAGATTATTCCATAATGAAAATAATCATTATTTGCAGTCTGATACAAATTAGTTCAACCTCAACCAACTACAATAAGTAAAATCCTGCCTTTACATGAATGCATGAGTAATAATAATCTAATCATGTAATATGGAATAGTATAACATTCATGGGAAAGTATTCTTTCTGCTTTGAGTACTTTTACTTTTAATTATTTATATTACTATATACTTACATAAGTTTACTTAAGTAACACTTTTAATGCAGTTCTCTTACTTGTAACAGAGTACAAGTAACCCTCTATGGTACGGTGTAAAGGATCTGAATCCTTCATCCACCACTGGATACGAGTGTGTGTGTGTGTGTTCATACCTGTGTGATCAGAGCATAGTGACACATTTCACGGAGCCACGAGCGCTACTCTGGGCCTGGTCGGGGATCATGGTCTGGGCTTGCAGGCAGTATTCGGCCTTGTGGTTCAGCTCATTCAGCATCAACTTTTTAGAACAGCAGTCCATCTCAAACACCTCCTCAAGAGGACAGAAGAGGACAGGAGGCAGGTGATCAGTTATACCCTAAGGGAGTGTTTTGTTTTGGACTCTGATGCAACACACATCAAACAATCGTTCTAGAAGACAACATGCAGTATGAAAGCAAACTGAGCCGTCACGGAAAAATGGATGAATTGTGTGTAGGAAAAGTTGGTTTTCTTCATTTTGTTCGTGTTCTTCCTTTTTTTGTTGTTGTTATTGTTCTTGTTGTTCTTCTTTTGCGTTTCCTCTTCCACCTCCTCTGCCTCTTATTCTTCGTCTTCTTCTATTTTGTAATGGTAGTAGTGGTGGTTTAAATTTTCACTTGTTTTGTATTTAACATAGCTGTGTTACCTTTTATTTGTTCCAGGCGCCAAGAAATATTTATGTATGTTGCCGTAATGGTGATTCCTTCAGTGCTGGAACCGTTTACCGATCAGTTGACAGACATAAAATGAATCATCAACAATTTTAATAATTGTAAAATCATTTAACTCTTTTATCAAGCAAAGCCACCAGTCATTTTCTGATTCCAGCTTCTCCAAAGTGTGGATTTGGTGCTTTTTTTTTTTTTTTCACTTTTATATCATAAACTGAATCTCTTTGGGTTTCTAACTGCTAGTTGGACTAAACAAGACATTTGAAGATTTTTAACATCTGGGAAACTGACATTTTAGGGATATTTTATAGACTAATCAACTGATTGAAAAAACAACTGGCCAATCTGTCACCAGATTAATCTGTAATGAAAATAATTGTTGCAGCCCTAAAATCTTTACAGGTTTATAATTTCCTCAGTACTTTTTCTAAGAATTATGTAATTTGGTACTAACTATAGGTAAATGGTCTGTACTTGTATAGAGCCTTTCTAGCCTTCAAAGCACTTTTACACTATGTCACATTCACCCATATTCATACTGCCCAACTGCTCAGAGCAGAAACTAACGTTCACACACATCAGGGGTCAGTATTTTGACCAAAGGCAATTCGACTTGGATGAAAAGGGGGATTGAAAGGCCAATATTCCGATTACAGGGCAACCCGCTCTACCTTTTGAGCCACAGCTGCCCCAATAACAGGGATATATAGAGTAAATGGGAATGTTGTAGAAAGAAAAGCTTCATTTGAATTCAAGTAAATATTCATTAATTTTTCATCTATTATTCTCTGCACTGACTCAAAGACTCTCCAGGTTACATTAGCAATTATTTTGGAATTAATTTATTGTGCACCAACGCAACGCTATGCTCCATGTAATTAGATTGAAGATTCAAAGATTACCTGTCTGTGTTCATATATTCATTTAATATGTGCATGTACAGTGAAATGCAGAGTGGTGTATTCTTGAGGCTGGTGTGCAATAAACGATAATAATTAAATAACAGTGAAAATAAGACATTTAAGAAATGTGGGAAGGACTCAAAGTCAAGGTCAGGTGAGAATTAGGTTAATGTTATGGTAAAGGTAAGAGTTAAGGTAAGGCCGGTAGCTCTGATGGTTAAGGTTAGGGGCCGGGGAATGCATTATGTCAATGAGATGTCCGCACAGGTATAGTGAACAAACAGGTGTGTGTCTGTGTGAGTGTACCTCTTCTCCACTGGCGTGTATGAGGTAGATGTTATAGTGCAGACTGCTGTGCATCTTCCGAACAAGCAGTCTGGGGGGCTTCAGACGAACCACAATCCCTTGCGCAGTGATGGTCAGCTTCAGTACAGGAGGGCTGATTATGGCTGCAGATATGAGGACCTGGTTTAGTTTTTTTTTTTTTGTCTAAGTCCCGAAAGAGTGACAAAATACAATAAAAAAGTACTAAAAGAAGGAGCTTTGTACTATATATAGCAGAGAACACTAAATCATATATGTGGTTTGTTTTGTAAGAAAGTGAACAGTTTCATCAGACTACTTTTTACGTGAGTTTGCCTTGTACCTTTGGGGGTTTTGGTTTACAAGGCAGCATTACTTGAGTTTGAATTAGTAAATTAAATTCCCTAACGTAAAAAAGTGGATTTTGTGTTGATTTATTAAGTTACTCTATTACTAGATCCTTAAAACCTAAAATCTTGTGTTTAATTTTGACTGTTACCTCTCCTTGAGTCAAATGTTTTAGACCTTTTTCACTCCTGCTAGTTCTAAATAAAGAAGGAGCTTGTTTCAGTTTGCTGTGTGTCGTTGCATCATTTTGGGGAAGCAAGCAAACAAACAAGAGGACGTGAGGAGGAGGAGGGGGACGGGGAACACCTGTGTAAACACTTACTGTCCCAGCGTGGGCTGAACCTCGGGGAGAGGGCCCAGGCTGATTTGTTGGAGGGCAGGGAGGAGGCGTGCACTCTGGCGTAGTACCACTCTCGGGCGTCAGAGGTCACGACGCTGAGGTCACACTGATGCTTCTGGATCCCCTGACAGTCATCCACGTCCACCCACTGAGGCTCGCCATAACTGAGAAATAGAGAGAGGGACAGACGCAAACACAGAGAGGAGGGGTGTTAAATCAAGAAATCAACAGGTGATCATTTATTTAACTGTGTAAGCTTCACTTTAATGCTGCAGCTGGTGAAGGTGGGGCTAATTTGAATTACTTAATATGCTACTGGGTAGCTTTTGAATTTACCTGCAGATAAAGTATCAAATAAATGTAGTCAAGTAAAAAGAACAACATTTGCCACTGAATTGGGTGGAGTAGAAGTATAAAGTAGCAGAAACCGAAAATACTCAAATAAAGTACAAGTACCTCAAAATGGTACTTAAGTACTTGAGGAGTAAATGTACTTAGTTACTTTCCATCACTGCTTACTGGTGATTTTGATTAAAAAAAGATTTGATTTGAGATTCCTCCTTGGAAGACAGATTTTTCTAAAAGTTGAAGTGATATCACTTCACTGGTTTATTATTAAAAAACGTGTTTAAAGAAAAATATTTTTAGTTTGAATTAACACTACCAGACCAGAGAAAAGATAGTAGGACTCAACAGTAGACTTAATGACTGGATGAAATGTATAGGCTATAGGAAGCAAGGAAAGTTATACTATTACTATTACTACTACTACTACTACTACACACATATATATATATATCTTTTGCAGTAGTCATGGTGGAAACTGGGTAGGCTTTACTTCTAAAATCTTTTGGTCTTCTTTGGAAGACATCAACAGAAAAAAACACTGTGGGTGTTTGCACTGTTAGACGTAGATTTACTGTACATTCAATTCAGTTGGTAAATGAAGCGCATTTCTAGTCTTCCGACCACACAAAGCGCTCTTATACTACATCACATTCACACATACACGGATCCTCATTCTTTGTCACTCATTCACACACCGATGGAAAAGCCATTGGGGGCAATTTGGGGTTTATTATCTTGCCCAAGGACACTTGGACATGCAGACTGGAGCATCGGGGAATCAGACCACCGATCTTCCAGTTATCATTATTCATAACAGAAGTTATCTCATTGCACTTTTCATATAGAGCAGGTCTAGACGGTATGTGTGTGTGTGTGTGTGTGTGTGTGTAATGTCTCACATCTTCCACTGGACGTAGTACTGCAGCGATGTGCTGTTGGTGGGCGGAGTCCAGCGCAGGATGTTTTTGTAGTCCACAGAGTCAAACCTCACCTTGGTGGGTGGAGCAAGCATCTCTGGAACTGAGGAAGTTACTGATTATGTAGTGGTTTATAGTGATGGTTGGTTGATTAGTAAACCAAAAACAAAACTTTTCTGTGTTTTACTTTCCTGTTTCCTCAGTTTCACTATGGAGTTGCTTACAAATATATATATATATATATATATATACAATTTTATTTTATTATATTAAGCAACTCCATAGTGAAGAGGAAAACAGGAAAGTAATATATATATATGTATATATATATTACATTCATTCCAAACAGCTTGAACAGTATATTAAAAATCACAGCAGATCGTCACTGCATTGGATTCCTGTGAGTATAAAGATTATGCTGCATGTTTAAAAAGCCCTTAATAGGTTAGGACCAAAATACATGTATGATCTCTTGCAATAGCCAGACCTCTCAGGTCTTCAGGTGCTGGTCTACCTACTGCAGGTTCAGCATGAAGCATGAACAAAGCATGGAGAAGCAGCCTTTTCTTTTTAGGCTCACCCTGCCTTGGATAAACTTCCAGTACTTTTTAATTCATTCTGTAATCTCTTTCAAAAAAATTTTCTTGTGGATCTCTTGTCTGTACTTTTGCACTCTCTAATTGTCAGTTGTTTTAACTTTAATGCATTGTTTGTAAAGAACTTTACAAAAAAACTTTGCCTCAGTGTATGAAATGTGCTAAACAAATAAAGCTGCCTTACCTTTAGCAAAAATGAACTGTGGTCCTGGTCCTCTTTTATCTTAAAGCTAAAATATTATTATTTTATAAAATATTATAGTGGATCAAATAGAGGAAGAGTAACACCGTTTTGTCCACATTAAAATCCAACTACAGCTCCTTTGGTGTATTATAATTTGCCTCTGGCTCAGTGATGTTTCTAAGACAAAAAAACAAGGATAAAAATGATTTTCCTTGCAAAGGTCATCTGGACTTCTTTTTAGAAATAATCTCACACTGCTGCTTTATCAATTTGTGCATTGTGCAACTTTTTTTTTTTTTCAAACCTGACATGAGATCTAGTTCCTGGAAATCTCAGAGCATGTTATTCTCTCACATTACTCTCTTTATTTTGATTCCTGAGCCAGAATATTCTGTGAAACTTTGTTCTTATATCTTAAACACATCTTGGCCTGTTGGTAATTAATGATATTTTCACTGATGTCTATTAATAATTTAGAGACAAAGAACTGTTTGTAGAGCTGTACCTTTACAACATATAACACCTTTTAAGATTCCCCTAATTTACTGCTTAATAAAAGCCTATTCTGTTGCTTTTCATGTTGGTCTGTTGACTTTTCTATCCTAGATTGCAGTTGTAACATGACATGACATCATCACACAACATGTTTAGATAAGGCAGATAATCACGAGTGTCTGGAATCAATTAATTATAATATATAATCGGTTGGTTTATTTTTATTAGAGATCAATCCATTTAAAGTTACATTGATTTATTCTGTTACAGCACCCATAAATATCTGTGTTTCCCCTCAGCTGAGTGTTTCACACAGCGATTTTCTAAAGACAAACATGTGATCTGAAAGAGAATAAGGAGATGATACTGGACAGAACTAAATAAGTGTGACTTTGAAATCAAACCAGTCAGACAATAACAACACATATCAACAGGTCAGAAAATGTAATATCAGAGGTTACCTCGCGCTGTGACACAGACACCCAGCATCAGGGCTCCGCGCAGCAGACGAATCATGGCGTTGATGATGTTGGTACCGACAGACCAGGCCAATAAACACAACGAGACACTTTGGACTGATGTTGCTCCACCTCACCTTACCTTTAACATCTCAGTAACTTCCCCTTTTAAATGCCAGTGCACTGATCTTTATGATCAAATATAGACTAGCCTAAATGTCCGACACAGTCGCTGTAGTCTTTCCTTTTTCTTCTCTTTTTTACAGAAGTAGCCTACCTTTTTGTGCAATTTACACGTCACGGGCTTACTCATCAGTCACAGCCTTACCTGCGCTTTGCATTTTGTATGTCCACCCACGCCTTCAGAGTACCGCAAACCCTCCACGTAATGATGACTGACTTAACAGTAACAATGGCCACTCCACCTTAAGTCTTCCTCGATTCAGTCGCAAATTTTATCCGGTGGAGATGCGTCTGAGTCTGCAGGCGACATTGTAGGCATCTACATTAAGAAAACAGAAACCTTTAAATTGGCATGTAAACATTTGACTATTCATGGTTCAGTACAGTCAAAACATTTATATTCTTTTAATGCATTTCTCAGACCAGTCTCTGTGTGAAAGAAAAATGCAATTAAAACTTAAACTGACCAAACTGCCATGTTTAGATTTTAAAAAGATTAGGTGTGGTTGTGCCTCATTTAGGCCTCATGTTTTAATGCCTGTTTAAACTGTTTAATAATTTAAAGCTGAAAAACAAGATATACCACAAAACTGGACCACTGTGTGAGAACTTTTAAGAAAGGAAAGGCACAAATCTGCTTCTCCTACACTGACAGTTAATCTGACAGCAAAACGGGACTCTTCATACTTTTGCTTTATGAGCACTACTTGCTGTTTTTTTCTCAAGGCCAAGCAGACATTTCAAGGTCACATCTGAAATAATGTCAAAGTAGGGATCCATCTATTTTAATAGGCCTTTTTCACATCAGACATTTTGACTTGTAATAGCAGGAAAAGGGCCAGGTCCCTGAGACTGAAGCAGCTAAAAAGAATTCAGTCATCATTCATTTTAGGATTTAACCTGTGTTACTGTGACACTTCATGAAAAGGGCACATTATTAATTTCTTCAAATGGAGCTTTGTGAGTTCTGCCAGGACATATTTCTTTTAACAGGCCTTTCTTTGTTCTCTGAAGGTTAGAAATATTACCACACTGTATGTGTTACTGGAAGGCATGATGACTGGAAACTGGAAATCTGTTACATAATGAATCTCAGTGACAGTCCAACAACTAGCTGTAAATGTGCCTGTGAGAGAGATCCCTTATCTACTTCTTTTCTCACACTTCATGTTTATGTCATGTTAATTATTAATTATTTTGTTAATGGGTTTATAACTATTTACAGAAGCTGCTGAGATTGTAGTTATGTAATGCAAAACATTAACTGAAAACATTATTACTATTGCACTATATGCAGAGAAGTCTAAACAGTTAGCTAAAATAGACAAGAATGATGGCTAACTTGTTGAAATAGCTGAGCATAAGTAATGGATAAGTCGTTAAAATATAACTATAAGTATTGCATAAATGGTTAAAATAGAGAGTAAAGGTGAATAAATCAAGGTAGTTTGTAATTAATGAAACTTGAGTCCTTTCATGCTACACACATAGAACTTAACAGATAATTTATTGTATATTAGAATAGCAAATAAAATAAATTAACACACAGGAAATAATTCTGTGTCTAATAGTGATGCATACATAAAATAGTGAACTAAAAGTTATGGATGAACAGTTGAAAGTGTAAGCTAAATTCAAATTCAATCGATAAATACTTGCCACTACTGCTACTTTGCCAACTCTAGTAGGCAAAATTGATCAAACTGATTAAACATTACATTTGAACTATATTAAAATTTTATTTTAATCAATATCCACCTTTATAATTATATGTTAATTAACATCTTAAATCTTAAATTCAGTTCAGATGAACACACTTTAAACATGATAGGTGGTGGTGATGGATCATCTGACAGGGCTGTGGAGGTATATCCGAGAATCACTGCTGCAGATTACCAGCAACCCAGTTCTTTTTCCTGCAAACCAGATACCAAAATAACCAGTTGAAGATGCAGGACCAACAGTGAAGCCTGTTACTGGAAACAAAACAGGTCTTCCTGTTCGCTCTCTCTCTCTCACACACACACACACACACACACACACACACAGCGAAGAGGAAGGAAACTTAACCAACAGACATCTATGTAAGAAAACACACAAAGAGGTCTTCCTTGTCCCTCAAAGGACTCGTTTCAGATGAAGGAATGTGGATTGCTCAAATGTCATGAAACATGATGCGTGCTTCTCCCCTTACACAGAAATGTTACGAGTCACCATCTGATGCAGTGATTTTTTAAAACGTTTGTCTGGCCCCACAGCAATAGCTCAGCTGTAACTTGAATGCTTAACTATACTGAAATACCAACTTCCCTTCCTTTTTATGGATAGCATTTCACATACAGTAATTTGGCAAACCCAGCACTAGATTTGGCACACCATATTTGGCTGCAGGAACTTCAGTTTACTTCTATCACTACATCCTTCATTTAACAGGACGCAAAGAGAAAATCACAATACGCATCTTAATCTTTTTTGAAATGGTTTAATGCTTAACATTCTTTTTACATGATATAACACATGAATGAGTATGTTGATGGAGGCAAAAAGATTAACCAAGTAGATAGTGAGAGATTATCAAAATGTGGCTGTACTCAATTTAGAGAATCAACCTTCTTTCATAAATCTAAACATTAGCGAGACTAAACAACATATTCAAGCATTATAACAATCAATCACACAGCTGGTAATTCAATTATTTCCCCCACCTCGCCTTTGAAACCAGTGGACCAAAATGTGACACAAATAAAAACACCACTTCCCTGTTTCATAGTCAGCATCATTTAAAAAAAAAAACAACAAAAAATTGGAGTTGTTGGTTCTATTTAGCCAGGCTGTGTTTTCATTTATTCAGCACTCTTGAGCATGGAAATATAAACAGACCGAGGTTCTGAGATTTATCACAGCAACTTAACTGAAAACATAGAGATGTTACAAAACAAATAATTTGTATGTATTAAACTCAAAAAGTGACAGACAAGGCACAGCACAAAGTCTAAAAAGAGCAACTCGTTTCATGAGGAAATTAATTCATTGCCACACTCAAAATGACCATAACACATTTAAAGCACCATGTGAAACACGTGTCTGTGTGTTAACTGTTCAATTCATTCATCTCTACCTCGTTCTCCCCCTCCTGATCAACCAGCAGTTAGGGGTGATGCAGGTAAACAATCCTTTACAAATCCATATTGTTAAATCACGCTCACTTTTTTGGTGATCCAGCCACATCTGAAGGACTCGATCAAATCCTTCTTATAACTAAATATCCCGTTTCACCTGTCACATTATGCAGTTAAAGACGGTCTAACTTTTGCTTCACTGTGACTTTAAGGTGCAACGGCACAAGGTAAAGCACCGCATTCAGACTGAAAACACATGACTGCAAATAAGCAAGAGGACATTTTCAATATTTGAAGATATACTGTTCCTCATGTAATACAGTATTGTGACCTGCCATCCGAGTAACAAATGAATATGGGAATTCCTGTATGCATGAAACAGATGCAAATACACATTACTGAACGACAGAAATGTTTATGAGCCTTATGTATATAAGCGTTTGGAAATATTATTACTACTATTATAGTACTTCAATTTGCATTATAGGAGGTAAAGCACAGTTAGAATCATTTTATAGGATTCACTGCAGTGAAGCCTTCAAAGTCCACACGTGATGAAGCGAAGGATGAGTTGTTACTTTCCTGGTAACCCATTACACAGGGATTTAATTGCCAGGAATGTAGCTGCAGCTGAAGGAAGTTGTTTTTTGTTTGTTTTTTAAACAACACCAGAGTAGAGAGACTTGCAATAGTGAAGACAAGATGCAACGACGTCATGGGGGGGAAGTTTCCGGTTTTCCCGCAGGGAAAAATTGCTTCACTCCACATTCTTTTCTAATAATGGCTGCTAGGTGTTCAGCTAAGCCACACATTTGTTGATTTTATAGAGTATAAAAGAGTTTTATAGAGTAAGAGTAATTATCTCAACACTCCGTGCTGGAGCTTAGCATGAACACTTACTGATATGCCATGTGCACGCACTGAATGTGCTACTACTTTGTTTGCTGGGGGTTGGGACGCACTTATGATTTCAGCTCTGGTTCTTACGGAGCTTGAACGCCTTGTACAAAAGTGTCTGCCACATGAATGTAATGTACTGTGATGTAAATTATCACACGTTTTCATCAGGTTCTTTCTCACCTACTAGCAGACTTAGACCTGCAAAGTTAGTGACTGCAGCAGAATCGACAATAGTCTGTACTTATGAAGTTAAGTAACTTATAGGTCTAGATGGACATTACTACACCACCAACATTCTGGTGACCAATTTGATTTAGTAATTATGTTTATCTATTTGACTTTCATCCAAATGTACCTGATGTTAAGATGTTCCGATTGTACTTTACTTGGCATTGAGACTGAGGAAATATCAAACTCCAATTTGTAACCGAATCTGCCCTGCAAGTTACTGTTGAGATCACATTTTTTGTAGTTTCATGTAGGCGATTGCAGGGTTGTAGGAAAGAACATATTCCTCAGTGTTCACAAGACACCAGTTCCACCTTCACCGCCACGGTAGCCCTCAGCCTGTTCATCTGGTGCAATCTCAACAAAAACCGGACGGCTCTCGTAACCAGAGTGGCCCTTGCTGAAGTTTTGTATCTCTTCATCCAGGTTGCTGCCTTGCACATACCCAGGATCTTCATCCTTCTCCCCCTGCACGACATCACACACACCTTCAACCTCGGTCCACACCCCGCCGATGCGCAGACGGAGTTCAGGCTCAGTAGAGGAAGGATCATTAGTTAGCAATTTGTTTTCTTCGGTGTTTGGCAGTAGAGGTGTGGGTGAGGAAGGCCCCAATTCTGGCACAGAGACGTGCTCGTGATCCGGTCCCAAGGTCAACTGCTTCAGTTTATTCGTGATATCCTTAGAAATAAGACACAACGAAGAGCTGTTAGGTTAGTGTTGAAAGTTACAAACATGTTCCTTTAGTGGGGATAAATACTTCTAAAATATTCAAACTAAATCATTTAGGCTCATCAAAATAAATCAGAGTTGGTGAAATGAACTTACCAGAAACTCTGGTAAAGAACTTGAGGGATCAGTAATTTTTCGGTACACCATGTAGATTGTCACAGCAAATGCAATCACAGCAAGCACAATGGACACAATGATGATGGATACTAGACAAAGCAGATGTAAAAGTAAATACATTTACAATCAGACTAATAGCCATACATACA